AAACAAAAGCTTACTTTCTTCTGATTCTGTATCTGCTCTTCATATATCTGTATAATGTCTGTGTGTGGAGTTAGGGATCTGTACTCTGTATGGAGACTGGAAATCTCTCTGAATGTGCTTGAATAATGGGCTAGGAATGTTTGCCTATGGACATGCTAATGAGCGAAGTTCCAGGGAACAATGGGCCTCTGAAGGCCAGAGACACACCTGGTCACTGGCCATGTGACTCCCTCCAGCTTGGAAGAAACCTGGAAGAAGGGTATAAATATGCCATGTGGCAGACTCCATGTTGGTACTCAGATCTGCTCCTGACCCCAGATGCGGCCTCTCAGGGAACCAGGAGCCGGGAAGAACTATGGACCCATCCTGACATAGGATGCACACCAAGGACTTTTAAGCCAGCAGTTATAACATCTTTGCTGCAAGCCTGCATCGAGAACTGGGAGATTTGATGCATGTAATGTATGATACTTTAGCAACCTTACTCTCATGCTTTTCTTTCTTGTGGTAATAAACCTTTAGGCTACGTCTACACTGGCATGATTTTCCGGAAATGCTTTTAATGGAAAAGTTTTCCGTTAAAAGCATTTTCAGAAAAGTGCGTCTAGATTGGCAGGACGCTTTTCCGCAAAAGCACTGACAATCTTACATGAGTTCGTCGGTGCTTTTGTGGAAATTCAAGCGGCCAGTGTAGACAGCTGGCAAGTTTTTCCTCAAAAGCAGATGATTTTGCGGAAAAACTTGCCAGTCTAGACACAGCCAAAGATTGCAGATGCTAAAGGATTGGCTCAGCGTGATTTGTGGGTAAGATCCAGAGGGTAAATTGACCTGGGAACTGTGGCTGGTTTCTTGGAACTGGACAGAATTTGTTCGGGGTGGGTGAGATTCGGTTCTAAGGCCCCTCACCTGTGTATGAGGCCCGGGGCCATCTGGGGCATGGATATTCATAGACTCATAGACTTTAAGGTCAGAAGGGACCATTATGATCATCTAGTCTGACCCCCTGCACAGTGCAGGCCACAGAATCTCACCCACCCCTTTCTATAATAATCCTCTCACCTATATCTCAGATATTGAAGCCTTCAAATACTTTGAAGACCCCAAGATGCAGAGAATTCTCCAGCTGTGATCTGTATTGCTGAGGTGTCGGACGGGTTTTGCTTGTGAGGCTTCAGGCAGAGGCAGCTGAAGCGCTCTGTGTGACTGGTTTGCGGCCTGTTTGGAAAGGTCTCCAGTCTGGGGGCTGTAAGTAGCCCTGAATTTGAGCAATCGCCCTGAGCGGACGCCCTCAGCTGTGCACAGACACGGCCCGGTCCGTCACAGTGATTAATCACGATTAATGTTTTAATCGCTTGACAGCCCTAAAAACTAGTGTTTATTTTAACACACTCTTTGTGAAAGGTACCCGAGTGAGAGATGCAGGCCCCGATATCCATCGTTCCACACAAAGGCATGCAGTGAAAGCAGTAGCAGTGCTAACTTAATCTTCTTCTAGACTGTCTGCATGTTAGCTTGAGTGCCTCCATGTTAGCTATCCGCTACTGGGATTAGTGCATTTGACATCAAACGCTTTTGGTTGTGATGACATACTCCCTCATAGCAACTTGTGGCTTCCACCGGAGCCTAATCTACAGGAAAAGATTCCTGAGAGCTAATGATCCTGATTCCATGCGAACGTTCTGTGTATGTAGTCCTCCTCCTTTTCCCCTCCCGTATGAATGTTCAAAGCAGTAGGTGATAATCAACATACAGAAAGAACCATTTACATTGGGAAAGGATCATTGTGTGAAACAGCCATAGAGAAGGAGCTATAAGAACCAGAGTAACTGTTTTTAGTACACGGTGGCTAATCCCATGGCTTAGCCCAAGGGCGTAGTTCCGCCTACAAATGGTGTTTCTTATTCACACACAGTAGCCTCAGGATTTCTTCACCTACGCTGTGTCTAGACTGGCATGATTTTCCGGAAATGCTTTTAATGGAAAAGTTTTCCGTTAAAAGCATTTTCGGAACAGAGCGTCTAGATTGGCACGGACGCTTTTCCGCCAAAAAGCCCCGATCGCCATTTTCGCGATCGGGGCTTTTTTGCGGAAAACAAATCTGAGCTGTCTACACTGGCCTTTCTGCGCAAAAGTTTTGCGCAAAAGGACTTTTGCCTGAATGGGAGCATCATAGTATTTCCGCAAAAAGCACTGATTTCTTACAGTAGGAAGTCAGTGCTTTTGTGGAAATTCAAGCCAGTGTAGACAGCTGGCAAGTTTTTCCAGAAAAGCGGCTGATTTTCCGGAAAAACTGGCCAGTCTAGACACAGCCCTAGAGTAAAACGAAGAAAATAGATGTCAATCTCGTTGTGATTGACAGAAGGGGTGGAATACACTTGGCGCTATGCCAAAGTTTGTGTCCAAAACATTGTAGCAGGGAAGCGGACTACAACAAGGGACAACTTTTGCATTCACTGCCCTTTCAATCTCCCAGAATTCACTCTCTGTGTCTGGAGCCACAAATTGGATTGGGGGTGTGCTGTGCAGTTGATCGCATTTGATTCTCTGTGCTGTCTCTGCCTCTGGGTTGTAATACTCCTGGTCCAAGTAATCTACGAAGGGGAAAGGAGAGGGTTTCCTCAAGTGCTTGCACATGTCCATTCAACAGGAAGTTTTCTTGTCCCCCTGGCAATGGAGAAAGCTATAACCTGAGACCCCCAGTGCACCTGGAGACGGAACATACCAAAGGCAAATAAAAAGACCACCAAAGGTGCTATTTTTACATGACCTCATGATTTCAGAGCCACTCTCATGACTTTTGGTGACATGATTCATAATTTCTGAACATTTGGGGTTGGCAATACTGCAAAAGTGACCTGAAAGTGTCAGTTTCACTCCTTTTAGGTCAGTTTCCAGTTTATTTTTTGCAGTAGAACAACACCCCAAGTGCCTGAAGTAGGTGTAATGTAAAGTCACAGGGCCTTGCCCTAGCAGAATGTTTCCAGAGTTAAAAGATCTCTTCCGTACTTGGTGAGGTGCAAAAAAGTGATAGAAAGTAATCTATCAGTTGATTCAATTGTTTTATTCAAGAGCTAGTAACTAAGTCAGACTATACATTTCAATTATAAACCTAACCAGTGTCCCTTAAGTGAGTTAGTATAAGATATGAGTGAGATCTTGTTACCATTAGAGATGAGCACGTCTAATATTTATTTAATTCTCTTTTTTATATAGGAATTAGACACAGAGCTCCTTCAGCTAATTTCTCGGTAGCTGCTGGCATCATGGTTAAACTCCTCCCCCATCTGAGAGAATGCCCCTGACTGTTTTATTTCAGAGTCTCCTATCTAGTGACCCAGTCTGGCCTAGCCATAGGAAGTAAGCTTTATTAGGACCACAGCACAAACCGAGGGTGTTGTTTATGTAGGCTACCACATAATGAACAGAAAGCAGGGTGATGATTCAGTGTTTGTCATTTCTGTAGACGGGGAAATTTCAACATCTCTCACAACACACCTGCGCACTCCCCCACATTAGAAAGAAGCAAGTGGCTGAGGATTGCACCCAACCCCATATGAACTGAATGTACCAACTTTTCTGATTGATTCCGAGTCCAAGAAGGAACAGAAGTGTTGTGTGGTTTTTTAGACTTTAAAGTGCTACCAGACTATTGGTTGTTTTTTAAGTTCATCCTGTTCAGACCAACTCGGCTCCCCTCTCAAGCATTCAAAAAGAAAGAAGCAAACAACAAGCAGCCAAACATTTTTACTGGACTAGCTGAAAATATTAATTGGTGGCTACTTCAGTGTGTTGTCTGGCTAGGCCATCAGGCCATGGACACGGAGAAGGATATGCGACCATGCAGCAGGGTTTTCTGACACCGCTGGTTTCTACAATGTTTCTAGGGACAAGAAAGTATGGCTTTTGGGAAAACATGCAACAGATCCCTACTGTGGCACTTTTGTACTTTGTAAATTGATACAGTTCATGTGTATTGTCTTATTTTTGTGTCCACAGCCCTGTGACGGGAGGGGAGAAAGTCAGGGATTTCTTTTGAAATGGGGCACAGACTCAACAGTTATTAAGCAGCGGCTGTCCTTCTTTAAAAAAAATCAAACTGGCCTTCTTGGGAGAGGCCAGTAGTCTGCACAGAAGCCAAAGTTACTTCTCCCGGATTTTGTTCTCAAGTCTGATTTTTGTCTTTGCTGCTGCTTTATGCTTTGTTTTTTTAATAAGACCCTGCATCTTGTTTGACCCCATTTTCTGATCTGTAAAACAGGAATAAGAAGCTCACCTTCAAAAGGTGAGTTGTGCTGCTTAATTAAGATTTATGACGCCACCTGAGATCCTTGATTGCCTCACGCTATAAAGGCACAAATTGTAATTATGCTTCATTCAGTTTTCCTACCAGTCAGGAGATGAGCTGTGTGTGTGTCAGCCTGCTTCTAGCAGTTGCTCAACCTGTTTCCAAACAGCTATTCAAAGCACACTCGTGTCATTGCCCTGCTTCATTCAAATAAAATGTCTTGTTTTCAGCCACTCCTCCGCTAATTTCTACTGAATTCCATCGAGGGAGAACAATAAGTTATTGTATGTTGTTTGCAGTGCAGGTGTGCTAGAGATCCCCGTCGTGATCAGGCTAATTGTGCTGGGCATTGTGCAAACGTAATAGAACAGCCTGCCCTGAAGTGCAGATATCATCTAGTGCCCTGATGCCGCTAATGCATCCATGTTTCTGTGACTATACAGAGCCTCACCAGCTGACGCAGCACCCTCTGCTGGCCCAGGGATTTGCAGCGTTTATAAATATAACGTTTTGCTCGGGGCAACTAATAACTCCTGGGATTCAAGCTGTCCAACGTGCATGCCACTGAAGCGGGGACTGGAATGTGTTGGAAGTTCTAACGCACACAACTGGCTGCAGGAGAGCAGAAGAGGGGAAGCTGCCGCTTCAGATACAGCCGCCAAATCCTTTTAAATAACTGATGGAGCAAGAAAAGCATCTACTGTGGCTCTAACATTGTAGTTATTAACCAGTCAGTGCACAAGCCGCGCTACCCTTGCTGTGCTCTTAGCTGCACGCTCGTGAGCATTACCTGTTACTGTCAGGTGGAACTCCTTCCTCTCTGCTCCGAGACCAGAGGTAGCCTCACAAGTGTATGTTCCGTTGTCAGATTTCTGTACTTTCTTGATAGTCAGCTGGAAGACCTCGCTAGTCTGGTGTATCTGGTAGCGACCTTTCTCCAGGCTCAGGCTGCTGTTGTCTTTACACCAGACCATGTGAGCTTGAGGGTTGGAATTCACATTGCAAGTCAGGCTCACGTCACTCTTTTCTTCTGCCGGGGGAGGGTTTCCCCAGACCGGCGAGGGGCAACTGTTGACAACAAGCAGTTATGTTAATGACAGATTTACCAGAATACCATGTGGTACAGTCAGAGCAAGGGAAGAGGGGCTGGGAGCAGGAGAGAGACGGGACTCCACCAAGGAGAGGTCTGAAACTGATCACGTGACAGCTGGAGAGGGCCACCTTTATGTCATCAGAGCTTCAGGCATCACCTTTCAGCTTTTTCACTGAGCAAAATCTTGGTCTTTACAGCGTAATAAGTAATGGATAGTAACCATCGTGCTGCAAAATCCCAGTGGAGCCAAAGAGTAGACAGCTTTTAACGTGAGGAAGCCAGGTGGGGGTAATCCTACATCTCCCACCCCATGGTCGAGCTCACCTAGCCATAGCCTGGTAAAAGTTAAAGTGCCATGTTTCTCCTAGGCTTTGACAGTGGGGTGGCAAAAACAAACCACTGGAAACATCTAGCCTCTCCCCTCACCCATTTTATTTATTTATGTATTTATTGCATTGGAGACTTGGTTAAATTATTCCTCCTAATTCAGAGCACAGGCCACTGACCAACTGGAGTTGGCGGCTGAGGGGCATTAGGAGGAGTTTATATATTCCTCTAGCAACCCATCGTGACCACTGCAGCAGAGGGGATACCAGAGGAGATGGGTCTTTGTGCTCTGATTTTTTTTGTTGCCCTCTCTGTACAAGTGGGAATCTAGGTGGAGGGGCAACCGTATCTCATTCGTCTTTCATAGAATACTCAGAATCATAGAACACTAGGACTGGGAGGGACCTCGAGGGGTCATCGTGTCCTGTCTTTGTCGTCATCAAGAGCCTTATCCAGCTTCCACCTAGGAAAGTTGAAGGACTCCCGTTGATTTCAGTGAAGGTTGGATCAGGATTAAGATTCCCTCTAAGCTGGGCGGTAGCACAGCCCCACAGCTGCTTAATCAGCCCTGCCCAGTCAAGGGCTCAATGCTCAGCACACGGAGCTGCCTGGCTGGAGGAGGAGCACGTCTCCCGCAAGGACAGCAGCAGCTCCCTGCTGAGGACAGAGCAGCGAATCTCTCCCAGCCAGTCCCCTGTGCAGAGGCTTTCCCTGTTCAGAAACGCTCAGCACTTAACCCTCCTCGCTTACAAGGGCTGAGCTGTGACGTGTTTATGGCTCTTCAGTGTCAAGTGAGTCACATGAACTGGGTTCAAGGCCTCGCTGTATGGCTCATCCACAAAACACCAGTCAGCAGCAGGGATTCTTCCTGCACAGCTCCCTGTTTTATGGGGCTCAGAGAAGCAATGAGTAACCAAGTTACTGTGGCAGCCATTGCTGATTTCAACCCAAAATGAGGCATGTTTCCTTCTCAGCTTCCCTCCTGTTCTGGGGCCTGGGCCTGCCTTCACCCATGCCAGTGGTAGCTGACTGGAAATGGGCTCCAACTTGGAAGCAAGTGTTTGGCAATATGAGAGCAGGGTCACTGCAGTGACATATGAAATACAAACCAGTCCCCTCCTAAGGGTGACTCATGCGCTCAGTCCTAAAGCACTCAGACCCTGATTTTCCCCTCTGGGACTGACCCCATCCCAGCCCTCTGCTGAGGCACCTCGCTGCTGATCCGCAGTGCCCTGTCTTATTTCTGCTTCCCACACTCTCTCAGGGTATGTCTACACTACCCTCCTATTTCGAAATAGGAGGGTAATGTAGACATACCCTGAGAGAGTGTGGGAAGCAGAAATAAGACAGGGCACTGCGGATCAGCAGCGAGGTGCCTCAGCAGAGGGCTGGGATGGGGTCAGTCCCAGAGGGGAAAATCAGGGTCTGAGTGCTTTAGGACTGAGCGCATGAGTCACCCTTAGGAGGGGACTGGTTTGTATTTCATATGTCACTGCAGTGACCCCCGCGCGGCTACACGCGGCACGAACTAGGTAGTTGGAACTAGGCTTCCTAGTTCGAACTACCGTTACTTCTCGTGGAATGAGGAGTAACGGTAGTTGGAACTAGGAAGCCTAGTTCGAACTACCTAGTTCATGCCGCGTGTAGCTGCGCGGCACGGGGTTTGAACGAGCGGGGATTTAAAAATGGCAGCGCCCCGCTTATGCAAATGAAGCCCGGGAAATTCAAATCCCGGGCTTCATTTGCAATTGCGGTATGCCTACATTACCCCGCTAGTTCGAATTAGCAGGGTAGTGTAGACATACCCTCAGTGAACCTCAGCGTGGCATGCCCTGCTACGCCATCCTCCTCCAAACTGGACACTCTTCTCTTTTAGTGAGCTCAGCCAGGCCTGATGCAGCGGATACAACTGTGCTGAATTCCATCACGTTCCGGCTGCTGACAAGGCTGAATGTGTCTCCTTGTGTTAGGAAGAGTCGCGGGGCTACGGGAAGACAGCATTCTGAATAGCCTCAGCACGTCTTAGCAGGACAAAGGCTGATAACTGTAAACCACGGGGCCCTCGCTGCTGCCGACTGCAAAAGGAGTGTCCCGCTGACTTGATGGTCTTGTGGGTGCTTAGCACCTCTCTGGATCAGCCTCATGATAAACCTAGGATCAGACACGTGGCCACAACGAACATCCCCAAGGCAGGAAAGTGACCCAGAACAAGGTGCACTATGTTTGACCCACTCAGCAGAGAACACCAGTAGGTTTGGGGAGCAGCTGTCTGGCTTGGGACACTAGGGGGTGCTAGTATACCATAGAATCACAGAACACTAGGACTGGAAGGGACCTTGAGAGCTCATCGAGTCCAGTCCCCTGCCCTCATGGCAGGACCCAGTACTGTTTAGTAGGCCATCCCTGATAGACATTTATCTAACCTACTCTTAAATATCTCCACAGATGGAGATTCCACAGCCTCCCTGGGCAACTTATTCCAGTGTTTGACCACCCGGACACCATGTGTTAGAAGCGCTGCACATCGGTGATCGCTGAGTATTTCATTTACTCATCTATGGAAAATCCACACGCACCAAAACACCATTTCTCATAAACCTCTTTTGTGTTTGATGCTAATCATGATGCTTTGGGGAGAGGAATCTGATGGGGTCCTGTCTCTGACGTCTCCTCATGGATGTTTAGCTGTCACCCCTAGCTCAGCAGGGCTAAAACAGAATCATTAAACGTTGCCCCAACCCTTCCCCTCCACCACTGTTCTTGGTCACAGTGGACAACACCACCATCCTCTCAGTTCTCTTTCACAAGGCCTTCTCTCTCTTGGCCCTCACGTCCAGGATCACAGATTCTTTCTGGATACTCTCTCAGATAAGAACATAAGAACGGCCGTACTGGGTCAGACCAAAGGTCCATCTAGCCCAGTAGCCTGTCTGCCGACAGCGGCCAGCACCAGGTGCCCCAGAGAGGGTGGACCGAAGACAATGATCAAGCGATTTGTCTCCTGCCATCCCTCTCCAGCCTCTGACAAACAGAGGCCAGGGACACCATTCCTACTCCCTGGCTAATAGCCTTTTATGGATCTAACCTCCATGAATTTATCTAGCTTCTCTTTAAACTCTGTTATATTCCTAGCCTTCACAGCCTCCTCTGGCAAGGAGTTCCACAGGTTGACTGCACTATGTGAAGGAGAACTTTCTTTTATTAGTTTTAAACCTGCTACCCATTAATTTCATTTGGCGTCCTCTAGTCCTTATATTATGAGAACTAATGAATAACTTTTCTTTATTCACCCTCTCCACAACACTCATGATTTTATACCTCTATCATATCCCCCCTCAGTCTTCTCTTTTCTAAACTGAAAAAGTCACAGTCGCTTTAACCTCTCCTCATATGTGACCTGTTCCAAACCCCTAATCATTTTAGTTGCCCTTTTCTGAACCCTTTCCAAGGCCAAAATATATTTTTTGTGGTGAGGAGACCACATCTGTACACAGTATTCAAGATGTGGGTGTACCGTAGTTTTATACAGAGGCAGTAAGATATTCTGTATCATTTTCTATACCTTTCTTAATAATTCCTAGCATCCTATTTGCCTTTTTGACCGCCGCCGCATCCTGTGTGGAAGTTTTCAGAGAACTATCCATGATAACTCCAAGATCTCTTTCCTGATTTGTCGTAGCCAAATTAGCCCCCATCATATTATATGTATAGTTGGGGTTATTTTTTCCAATGTGCATTACTTTACACTTATCCACATTAAACTTCATTTGCCATTTTGTTGCCCAATCACTCAGTTTTGTGAGATCTCTTTGAAGTTCTTCACAGTTTGCTTCTGTCTTGACTATCTTACAGTTTAGTATCATCTGCAAACTTTACCACCTTACTGCTCGCCTCTTTCTCTAGATCATTTATGGATAAGTTGAATAGGATTGGTCCCAGGACAGACCCTTGGGGGGCACCACTAGAAACCCCTCTCCATTCTGAAAATTTACCATTTATTCCTACCCTTTGTTTCCTGTCTTTTAACCAGTTCTCAATACATGAAAGGACCTTCCCTCTTATCCCATGACAATGTAATTTACACAAGAGCCTTTGGTGAGGGACTTTGTCAAAGGCTTTCTGAAAATCTAAGTATACTATATCTACTGGATCTCTCTTATCCACATGTTTGTTAACCCCTTCAAAGAAATCTAATACATTAGTAAGACAGGATTTCCCTTTACAGAAACCATGTTGACTTTTGTCCAACAAATTATGTTCTTCTACGTGCCTAACAATTTTATTCTTAACTATTGTTTCGACTAATTTGCCCGGTACCGACATTAGACTTACCAGTCTGTAATTGCCGGGATCACCTCTAGAACCCTTTTTAAATATTGGTGTCACGTTAGCTATCTTCCAGTCAGTAGGTACGGAAGACAATTTAAGGGATAGATTACAAAAGTCATTAGGTACAGAAGCTGATTTAAAGGATAGGTTACAAACCACAGATAATAGCTCAGCAATTTCCCATTTAAGTTCTTTTAGAACCCTTGGATGAATGCCATCCGGTCCCGGAGATTTGTTAACATTAAGTTTTTCTATTTGTTCCAAAACCTCCTCTAATGACACTTCAATCCGGGACAGTTCCTCAGATTCATCTATCACAAAGGACAGTGCAGATTTAGGAATCTCCCCAACATCCTCAGCTGTGAAGACTGATGCAAAGAAATCATTTAGCTTCTCCGCAATGGCTTTATCGTCCTTGATTGTTCCTTTTGTATCTTGATTGTCCAGGGCACCCACAGGTTTTTTAGCAGGCTTCCTGCTTCTAATGTACTTAAAAAACATTTTGTTATTTCTTTTTGAGTTTTTGGCTAGCTGTTCCTCAAAATCTTTTTTTGCTTTTCTTATTACATTTTTACACTTGATTTGACAGTGTTTATGTTCCTTTCTATTTATCTCACTAGGATTGGACTTCCACTTCTTAAAAGATGCCTTTTTGTCCCTCACTGCTTCTTTTACATGGTGGTTAAGCCACGGTGACTCTTTTTTAGGTCTCTTGCTATGTTTTTTAATTTGGGGTATACATTTAAGTTGGGCCTCTATTATGGTGTCTTTAAAAAGTTTCCATGCAGCTTGCAGGGATTTGGCACGTGTCACTGTGCCTTTTAATTTCTGTTTAGCTAACCTCCTCATTTTTGTGTAATTCCCCTTTTTGAAATTAAATGCCAGAGTGCTGGACTGCTGAGGTGGTCTTCCCACCCTTTGAAAAAGTGAGGTGAAGGTGCATATGAGGCAACTGTGACGGCGCGTTGGGGGTCCCCCGTCTCCTGCACCCTGAAATGGCACAAACAGACCGCACCAGCCGGTGGAATAGAGGAAGTTTATTGCCTCTCCAGGATACAGCACAGCACAGATGTAATCTGGTCACAGAGCTGGGCTAGGATGCCTCAGGCCACCTTGAGTTGGGGGGAGACTGGGCCCCTAAACTCCAGCCCCTCTCCCTAGGCTGTCTCCTCCATGCTCACAGACAGCAACTAACTAACCCCCTTCCAGCCCTGCCCCCCAGCCAGGGCAGCATTCCACCTTCCTTTGTTCCTCTCCATGGGGGGTGTCTGGCCATACTGGTTTGCATAGTGACTCATCCTGTTTTGCTGGGTCGTGGTACCCACGGCAGCCAGTGGGGGTTACCCCAGAGCCAGCAGCATAGAAACCAGCCAGGTACCCCCACTACATCACAGCAACCATACCTCCCGTGGAGTTAAACCAGCGGCAGTCAGACATGAGCAGCTTTGCAGAAGCAGGCTTGGGAACAATCTCTGGATTTTAGTCTATGGGCTACCAGAAATCACGCGAAATCAGGAGAGGCGTGGCTAATGCCTCCACTACACTAGAGAATCCTTTCATTGTCCTGCTCTCCTCGAAACACTGAAAGGATCTTTGTCAAAACAGAAAGTAATTTAAGAGGCTAATAAGATAAGCATTCCGCTCTGATGACCGATACAGTCACATGTCAGCTTTGTCCCAGTGCCCCCTCCATCACAATTGTGGAGTTGCTGCGCCAAGCCCCACGTACCAGGTCATAACAACTGGAGAAGAAAGCCATGGCCCAGTCCCATGGGACAGCAATTGCTGCTGTGGGGCAAGTGCTAGGTGGGCTTGCGCTCAAGCTCCCAACCTCCTTCCAGGTCTCCCCTTATTTTTTTGGATGAGTGGGGGGCCTTGGTATCAGATTTTGTACCTGTCCCTGCACACGCTGTACAGCTCTGCATATTGAAGGAACAAGACATTATCCACAGACAAAGGGACATGGATCTGATTTGCGAGGCAAACAAATGAGCTAGATGGTTTACATTTCTTGGGGGTCTCGGGAAGTTCAATCTATACAACATCTCTCTGTAAGTCACTTAGCAACATTCTTACTGGCTTAACTTCATTCCTGCATTGTCCTGTGAAACTCGATTAACTCCAGGACACAGTGCATTGGAAAACTAAGTGTTACTCTTGTTCACCAACTTAGAGGGGTTCTCTGCAGCCAGGCACAGGCAGACAGAGAGGTGTTCTAGCCATATATTATGTTGAATAGTTAACAGCAGCTTATTTTAAACATCTCCCTTTGTATTTCTGGAGGAATAGAACGTCCACTTATATGATACTCCCCAGACATTGTGACTTACGGTTAGGATGTGGATTGCTAGCATTCTTTCAGAGCAAACAGCGGCACAGCATGTAATGTTGTTAGATCCTTGATAGGGGAATAGAGTGGTAGCCTTTCTACTCAAAGGGCTAACAGCAATAATGTCTTCATCTGTGTTTTACACAACACTGACCCTTTTCTCAGCTTGTGACCAATAATAAATAACAAAGTATTTGGCTGGAGAGGTAAGCATATTTTCTTCACACAAGAGTTTCAAAAGATCCTGACATTGTCTGGCGAAGTGTCCCAAACCACACTTTCAGTAGAAAGACCATGGATAGAGCTGAGTTTCAGTGGCCCAGAGTGGCATCTTTGATGCCACATGTTGTAAGTGGTGTAAATATGGTCAACTAAGGTAGTAAGTATTTTTTTATTTGCTTTTCTTTTTCTATTCCGGTATGTTTGGGGAAGTGGTTTTATGCCACCAGAAGTTAGTTGCGCACTGAGCATTAGAAGATTTAAGTACCTATGCAGCAGGACTTTGAGCTAAAACAACAGCGTACAGTGTGTTCTTCCTTACCATACTGCACCTGTCATTACAGGAGTCTCATTTGCATGCTCTGCAAATAGCATGTAAGGTGACCAGGTATGTCTAGACTACATCCCTCTGTTGGCAGAGGGATGTAGATTAGGCAGGTCGACATTGCAAATGAAGAGGGGATTTAAATATCCCGTGCTTAATTTGCATAAAATGGCCACTGTTTTTGCCGATTCTGCACTTTGTTGGCAGTCTAGAGGGGGATCTGTTGAGAAAGAAAGTCTTTTTCGACAGATCCTATAAACCACCTTGCAGGAGGCATAAGGGATCTGTCGAAAAAGGCTTTCTTTCTCGACAGATCCCCCTCTAGACTGCCGCTTTTTGCCGACAAAGTGCTGAGTTGGCAAAATGAGGTGGCCATTTTTATGCAAATTAGGCGCAGGATATTTAAATCCCTGCCTCATTTGCAATGTTGACCTGCCTAATCTGCATCCCTCTGCCGACAGAGGGATGCAGTCTAGACATACCTCCCATATGTTCAGAGGATATTGGCTATCTATACATGTCACTGGGGAATCCAGATGCTGCATGAGTTCTGAATCTTCCTGGGGTAATAATGATGTACAGTAAAGCTATGTCTAGACTACAGGCTTCTTGCGCAAGAAGCTTTTTTTGGAAGAGATCTTCCGAAAAAACTTCCTGTGAAAGAGGGCATCTACACTGCAAAAGCACATTGAAAAAGCAATACGCTTTTTTGAAAGATAGCATCCAGACTGAATGGACGCTCTCTCGCATGTAAGCAGTGATTGCTATGGATAGAATGGCCACCAGGGCACCTGTGCTTTTTCCTCTTGTGGCCCTGGCTCCACTCTGCTGGGCATTCACTGGTCACTGTGTGTGCTGTGGGTGACCCCTACTGGCCTCTGTCTGTAAGCACTGCCCAGCGGGGGGTCGCCCCTGAGCAGAAGCACTCTAGGTAATGGCCAGGGGCTTCTCACCTGGCCATGAGAAGGGGAAAAAGCCCTCTTGCACAAGTGTTCTTGCGCAAGAGGCCAGTGTAGACAGGCAACATGAATTTCTTTTCATATCCAATGTTCAGGATATGGAGAGACTAGAGTTGGTTGCACTCATGACATAAATGTTGTTGCAAAATACACTGCACCATCTATTAAAATAGGATTACACTCAGAGAACTGGAATGACTGGGAAAGTGTACCTGAGGTGGTATTTTGAGAATGTTTACCTCAGAAAGGCATTAATGCTTTGCTTGGCTGATTTTTGCTTAACAAATTAACCATGATCGCTGAACTATAGAGTATCCATATCGCATTACACAGCTACCTCCAGGGGTGACTTTTAGGTCTCAAACCATTTAACAGTAAGAGCTTGATTTTTTTTTATTTATCAAAGTCAGAAAGGTCATATAGTTCATTCTTCAATTACTGATGTTCTGAATAATCAAATCTGGCCTAACCAAGGTCTATGGTTTGTTGTGAGAGTCTAGAACACCAAACAAAAAATAAATTTTGCCCCACTCCCTATTGCATCCTAAATCTCCTCTTCTCGTGTTTGCCAGGCTTGGATTACACTGAGAAATTGATTAGAAATGATTAATTCATTCCTTATGGGCATGTTCAAAGTCGTATCTGAGAAAAGATTTCAGTTTGTGAAATGTGCTCTTTTCACTACTCCATCACTGCCTACAGTAGGTCATGCCTTACAAACACAGTACTTTGAAGTAGGAATAAGAGATCCTCCGGAAAAGGGCTTTATTCCGGAGGATCGGGCCAGTCTAGACGCTCTTTTCCGGCTTTTCTACAAGCCGGAAAAAAGCGGCGGACATCTTTATTTAAATCCCGCGGGGGATATTTAAATCCCTCGCGGATTTCCCTATTACGAAGTTTAAAATTAGCATGCCCCTTTCGTAAAAGGGGCCAGTGTAGACGTAGCCTCACAGTACATGCCATTGATCAGCATGCCTGCAATGGCACTGCTGTAAACAGGCAATCCCGCAATCTGTATCGCACTAACTCCTACCCAACCACTTTAGTAGTAGCATGGGAGTCACATGAATTGGAATCGACATGAACAAGCACTTGAAGAAGAAAAAACAGTTACTGACTTCTCGTAACTGTTGGCCTTTGAGATGTGCTGTTCACATCCATTCCAACACCCACCCTCCGTCCCCTCAGCACAGCCAGCAAGAAAGAACTGAAGGAGGAGCAGGTCAACAGGGTCATGTATAGCATTGTGCACTGACGCCACTCCTGGGGGCACCTTGGGTGACCCAATGGAGGCTGTTAGGCGGAAACGCTTCCGACGTCTGTGCATGCGGTACGCATGCACCTGAATTGGAATGGACCCGAACAACGCATCTCGAAGAACAACAGTTATGAGAAGTTAGTAACCGTTTTTTTTTCTATTGGCTGCTTTTATCGACAGGCAATAGTTTTACTGCAGCAGCTCAAGGAGATATACCACTTCTCCTACGCACAGATATCACTGACTTTAGCATGGAATTTGCTTGTCCTTTCAGAGAGCCTGCAGTGTTGTTATAGCCATCTTGGTCTGAGCGTATGAGATGCAAGAAGAGTGAGGTAATATCTTTTATTGGACCAACTACTGTTGGTGAGACAGACAAGCTTCTGAGCTACACAGAACTCTGTGTGACTTGGTATCTTCTAATGGTAAGAGAGAAGCTGGTCCAATAAAAGATATTCCAGAGAGTGACTTAGGAGTCTATTCTCCTCTCAATGCATAGCAATTTGTGGGCAGTTTAGGGAGTTACCAGCAGAAACTGAGATAAAAATAGACATTTTCTCAGCCTTGAATTTGAGGTTGAAGTTAACCAAATGATTCCTCTTTAATTCCACCTAGTTACAGTTCTAATGTTCTACGTCTTATTCAATCTTTCTAGTATTACTATGGAAAATTGCAGCTGTAAACAGCAGAAAGGGCAATAATGTTTTTGTCAGTTTTTCAGAGTTCACCATTGATCTGGTTGTAAGGTTCCTTAAGAGTTACTGTGGGCTGATAAGAACTGTTACGATTTTACTGTATAATATGCTTCTTAACAGTTTATCGTGGAACTCCCTTTTTTTAAAAAAGAAAAATTATGTCTTTGTACAAAATACATTTTACAAATCCTTCCTTCTGGCCTTATTTTTTTGATAATAGAATATAAAAATATCTGGTGAAACTCTGTCACTTTTCAACAGCCCCTTCATATTTCCTGCACTATTTGTTACTTGAAGTGAGAGAGAATTCGCAGAATCTGCTCACATCTAAATGGCTCTGAATGTCTTCGAGCAAAGGCTTTCTAGAGCCACTTTCATGGATCTTTTTCGAAAGGGCTGAGACCCAAATTCCTTGCAAATGTGGTTTGAATTCTGCATAAACTGAACCTGTGTGGTGTGCCAGATGAATTGCAGGTGTAGATCAGAGGGTATGTCTACACGACAGAGAAGATCAAAGCTGCTGCTGTCAATCTTCCAGGGTTCAAATTAGCGGGTCTAGTGACCAATTTGAAGTGAGGGGGCACTCCAGTCAATGCTAGTAGTCCCTCTTCCACGAGGAGTAAGGGAAGCCAAAGGGAGAGTGTTCTCCCTTCAACTTCCTGCAGTGTGGACAGTGCCAGAAGTTGGGTTACGGCACTTCAACTTCAGCTACACAATTAACATAGCTGACGTGGCATATTGTAATTCAACCTTATCCCGTAGTGTAGGCATACCTATAGAGTTCTTACACCTCCAGCTAGCTGACTTGCACATGCAATCACATTGTTAGAAGTGTAATTGTTAGTATTTATGTCGCTTCATAGATGAGATGGTCCTTCACAGAAGAAATATTCATCTGTCTTTGAGTTTTATATTGCCACCCTTCCCTGTAGGGTCAGTGTCTTGTTCATAGACAAACACTAGCAATTGCAAAGTCCCTAGTGGACTTTGTGGAGACTCTGGCACTTCTCCCTTTATGGTGTCAGAACTCTGCTTGGGCTGGATAGGGTGTTTTGGCAGGAAGGAAAGCTGGAAGATTTTGGGAAGAATGGGGGGGTTTGAATGATGAGTATTGCTTGTGGGGAAAAGGCTTTTGCAAAGAAGACCACCCTGCAATATTTCCTAAAGAGATCAGACTCTGGAGTCACTTGAACTCGTCTGGAAGATTGTTCTGTAGCTGGATGCCCTTGACAAAGAGGTTTGTCCCCCCCAATGTTTTGTCCTGGCATTTGAGATCCACATTCTCCCAGAGGAGTACAGCCATCATAGCGTCTCAGAGACTGAAATCTGGTGCTTGGTGAAGTTGGGGCTTGATCCATTAATTGCTTTGAAAATCAGGAAGAAGTCCTCAAACTGTGCTTACAGTGGGCTGAACCACAGAGAAGGTGAGGAGCTACATTCTGTATTAGTTGGTCATCTACCTGGTCATCTACGCTTGGCAAGGAGTCAGACAGGACCCTGAGGTCAGCACACTCTGCTGAATGGGGGGATGCTTCCAGTGGAAAGTGGAGGCAAAATGTTAGCCAGTCTTTTAAGTGTTCCCCCTTTATAAGCAACATTCCTTCAGTCTTGCCAGTCCAGTTTGAGTCAACTGCTCATCTGATCTTGCTGTCATTGTAATATTTCAATAGTGCAAGTGGCTGCGTCAGTGGAGAATGCGATGCCGGAATATAAGAACGACTCAGCTCAGTCAGACCAATGGGCTGGTTAGCCCAGTACCCTGTTTTTTGACACTGCCAGATCCTTGAGGGGGAATGAAAAGAAAAGGGCAGTTACTGAGCAAGCCTGTAGTTCAGTCATGGCATCTGGCAGCAAGACTATAGGGATACCCATAACCTGGAGTTGCGTCCCTGACCATCTAGGCAAGTAGCCATTCCTCCATGACCATACCTCCTGCTTTTTTGAACCTAGTTACGCATTTGGCTTTCACAACACCCCCTGGCAAGGAGTGCCGCAGGTTAACTGTGCTGGGAGGAGAAATACTGCCCTTGTCCCCGTGCCCTTGGGTGCGTCTGGGCCTGTGTTACATGACACGTCCCCGTTCGCTTTCTCCACACCATTCGCGCCAACCCCCATCTCTGTCCCAAGCCCCAGTTCCTTTAACGGGGCCTCAGCCCCATACCCCGCCCAACCCTCTGCACCGGCTCTGATGCCAGCCCCTTGGGAGCCGTGGCCCCCCGCC